GGGAAGGGGGAGGAGGAAGAGGAGAGGAAGAAAGGTACGGGGGAGGAGGAAGGGAAGAAGGACATTTGGATGGTGACTAAGAAAAGCCTCACAGAATGTAGTCTTGAAGATTTGCCCCAAGCAGAGTTAGTTGGTTAGTTGCTCCTTTATCTACTCTGGCAGCCTATATAATCTCCCATTTATGAATCCATTCAGCAAATATTTTTCAGTATCAATAATATGTGTTAAATTATTCTTTGTGCTAGAGATACAGCGATGGGTGGTGGGGTGGGATGGACTACCCAGAATCCATACCATTTCTTATATTGTAAGATAATTTAGAAATGGTGAAATATTTCACATATTTTTAAAAATACTATAATAAAATGTGAACTACATATATTTAAGAAATTTAACAATTTGCTGTTTCCTTTATGGATTTTTATAGAACTAAACATTACAGGTACTATAATAATCCTTTTGTATAACATCAGCGTTCCTTTCCTTTCATCTTTCCTTAATACCCTTTGTTATGAATTTTGTATGTGTCTTTTCTGTCCAAGTTTATATAATTTTCCTACATACTTAGTTGCATTACTTTTATGTTTTAAAATCTACACACTATATCCATACCTCTGCAGCTTGCCTTTGGAACATTACATTATTGAGATTTTTATGTGTTTATATACACAGATCTAATTTATGCATTTTCTCTGTATGAAAACACAGTGTCTAAATTTCATTATATGAACATATCATACCATATTTATCCAGTGTTCCATCCCATTTGGAGTTGATTAGATAGATTCTAATTCTCCTTTTGCTATTTCAGTGATTGTGCAATGATTTTGCATATTTCTATTTGAATATTTGAAATATTTCTATATTTCTAAAAGATGTATGCATAGGAAGGGAATTGCTTTGTCATAAGAAGTCATTAAATTCATTAATATGAGTAGACACCTAAGTTATTTTTTCCACATTGTTGGTTTTTTTCCATCCTAATATATTTAATAATCATGTTCCTCTTCTGATTTGTAATACAACCTCTGTATATGCAAATTTGTATACATGCAAGATTTTTTTCTCCTAAACTACTGTTCTGTGGCTTTGCTATATTTGTCTTCTCTCTGTCTTTGTTAGATTATTCCAAGTAGTATGGATTTTTAAAAGACTTGGTTATGTGGTTGGGTATCTTCTTTCTTTTTCCTGCAGTGTTGATTATATTAGGTTCTTTCGTTAGAAATGCATAATTATTTTAATGTAATCTTTTAAAATTAATATTTTAATTGGAGGATAATTACCATATTCTGCTGATTTCTGCCATATATGGACATAAATCAGTCAGGTATTCCCTCCCTCTTGAACCTCCTTCTCACCCATATGTCCCAAATGTCCCCTCCTTTTTGAACCTCCCTCCCACCTCCTGAACTCTTTTAAAGTTTCATGGAAACTTTGTCAGGTTTTTGGCTATACTTTCATTGAGTTTGGAAATTCATTTTGGGAAAAATGACCATTTTCTGTTACTGCAACTTCTCTTCCACAAATGTGGTTGATTCCTGTTATTTTGATGTTTATGTATGTCAGTAAAGTTTCATAATTTTCTTTAGTGGACTGACTCTAAGGACTTTTGGGTTTTTTGATAACACTAATAGCATGATTTTTTCATAGCTTGTGTGTATTTTTATTTTATTTTTGTAGCATAACATATTATATATATATATATTTTTTTCATTTCATATTGGAGTAAAAAAGCTAGGTGAAGAATAGATAAGCTCCTCAGGTGTTTATCCCAGTTCATAAAGTAGCAGAAATTCTTTACCCCAAAGGACATCAGTCAGTGCTTTGGAAGTTTTTGTAGGCCAACTTAAAATTAGTAAAAAATTCTTCTCTTTTACTTTCTAAATATAGAACAGGGTTGTTGGCTGTCTTGAATGCAATGCACATCTTTTTAAAATTGTTTGCTGCCTCTTTCAGTAGCTCCAGAGCAAGTTCTAGTTTAAATCTGTTTGTCAGCATAAATCTGACTCCTTGAGATGCAGCCTCAGCTTCAGTATGGATCACTTGCAGAATTTCATGGAAGTAACTAGAACTGTAACCCTCATTCTGTTGTTCTCTGTCGTGTATGATGTCTTGAACCAGTTTCACAATTTGAGCTGTTGTCTTCTTTATGATATCTTTTTCAAACTCTTCCTCAGAGGGCCCATATACTGGGAACTCTTGAGGGGTGATAACATGTTTAGAATAATTGATAGAAAATGTTTTCTTTGTACTGCGATACTGAATTTTGTTCACAATATTGGGGTGCTGTTTAAAATGCTCCAGGAGAACATTCTCTAACTCAATATCAAGATCAGGCCCCTCAGCAGATGCAAGTGTGGGAGGCAACAGAATGGAGATGTTCTCTGACCAGATCTTGTTGAACATCTCTCTCAGTTCCTTATCATGTAATTCTTTCCTACTGGGGGACTTAGCCATCCCTCTGATTTTTTCTAATAACTTATGTTCCAGTTTTACTCTTTGCTCCTTGAAAAGGTCTTGTATTTTCTTTCCTTTAATTAGATCCTCACATTTTCTCATAGTTTCTACTATAAGATCCTCTTTAAGATTCTTCAAATCATCTTTAAATATTCCTTTCCTCTGAGACAAGATATCTCTATCTCTATCTTCTCGAAAATATCTTTCAAGTTCTTGCTTAATGGCTTCATGTTTTTCCACAACTTGATTCTCAATAGAGCTTCTCTTGATCTCCTTAACTTCTCCTTTCTGAATCTGGCTCGTCAGCTGATTCTGCAAGTCCAGCATATGACTTCTCAGCTCCCAGGTCCAGCTCCTGTACATAGTCTCCAGTTTATTCATAGCCATGACCTCCCGAGTGTTCTTGAACCTGAAAATGAAGTTCTCTTTCACTAAGGCCTTCCATAAATCCCGTACCCTGACTTTAAGTTCTGATATCTTCAAAATACTTCCTCTGGATTCTTCTTTGGCATGCTTAAGAATCCTGCTTTTCAGCTCCTGAACATTGTGGCTATAGCAGGGACTAGGAGGGGCCATTGGGGGAGACCCTTCCCAGAGGTGAGCAAAGTAATAGATGTGGTTCTTGACATCAAACTTAATGACATCACTGAAGTGACGCACCTCAGAGCACTGTTCATGTTTGGCTGCCGTGATTGTCATTTCATCCAGTGTTTCTTGTAGCCACCTCTGCCTTGCCATACTTTGATCTGTATCTATAACTTCTTCTACGTTCTGATGAACAAATAGGCATCTTGGTGAGATAGTCAGTTGTTTCATCCTGAGAAAGGCATGGACAGCTATTTGCAGAATATCTTGTATGTCTGAAAGATCCTTTCCCAAAATATTGATTAGAGTTAAGTTTCCAAGTCCAATGACAAAGGTTGCCAACTCATTTTCCTCATTTTGTGTTTTGCTCCTGAGCTCTGAGACTTGCAGTCCTTCTGTGTCCACAACAAGCATAGAATCAAAGCCCAGCTGTTCTCTGAGCATCTCGTCCACTTTCAGAAGCTGCATGTAGGCACCCCGAGTATGTCTTCCAGCACTAAGGTTCAACTGCAGCCCAAACATTGCATTCAGCAAAGTAGACTTTCCTGAGTTCTGCAAGCCAAGGACAGAGAGAACAAACACACGTTTGTCTCCAAGTTTTTCAGAGACCTTGTCAAAAACAGCTGCCACCCACCTCAGAGGCACATATGAAGCATCCCCATCCATCAGTTCAATGGGAGCCCCGGATATCATCAGGTCAGCAGCCATTTGGGGAAGAGAAAGAAACAGTGTATTTGTTTGGGAGGAAGCTTCTTCCAAAGCTTCATAGATCTGACCCAGCTCTCTCAAGAGGTGCTCAATTCCCAGGGTGGAATCACTGATTTCTTTGGAAACAGCTTCTAGCTCAGCCTCCCAGCATCTGAGGGAATCTCTCTTTGACTGCTTCTGCTTTTCTGTTCGTACTTGAGCCAACAAAGAACTGTGCCTCTGGTGGAGCTTCTCTAACTCTGTTGTGGTCAGTTGGTCCATTGACATACTCAGCGCCTGCAGAAAGTAGAGCTCTGTGTGGGTCTCCAGGTGGGACTGAAGGCTTTCCAGCAGGGCCTTCATCAGGTCGTTAAGATTAATGACTTTGTGATACTGTTCACAGCGTATCTTCAGCTTTTCCTTCTCAATTTCATTCTTATATTGTTCAATGCTCTTGTTTCCTTTTTTTTTGCAGCCGATGGACTTCTTTATCCTTCTCACACCAGTCATGCCATAGACCTCCTTGAAGAGGCAGGAACTTCCCCTTTATCTCAGAGAATTTTACTTTTCTCAAGATGTCCATAAGGATGTCTGCTTTTTTCCCTGCTTCTTGGCAATCTCTTTGGTCCTCATCAATAATAAACTCATACTTTCTTGCCATGTTGGCCCAGTTACTCAGACTATAAGGAGATCCAGATTTCTTCAGAAGCTGTGCTAATGTAACTGTAATTTTATCAGCTAATTCTATCTTATTTAGATTCTTAATTCCAATTCTCACTTTGTGAACATAATTCTTATCCATAATATTTTCTGCATTTTCAAACAAACAGATGAGAGGTTTGGGTGAATTCCAAAATTCAAGTAGAAGGGAGCTATTCATTATGTCCAAATCAGAAGTTGGCAGGAGGATAACAGTGACTGAGGAGACTTCCTGCAGGAACCTTACCTGCCTCTCATGTATTTCAGCATTTCCATGGAGATTGGTGAAGGCAACACAATTTTCAAATCTGTCCTTAGCTCTCCCACCTGGACAGAACCAGCAGATTTCCACCATACCATCTACCAATAGACATCTATTATTGTCTTCCCTAGAATGATGTAGGAAAAAATGGTCATGTTTGCTTTTACTCAGGAGTGAATTCAAAATCTGTGATTTGGAAGTAGAGGCATAATTTCCAATTCTTATGAAAGATACAGTGTGTATAGGTTGCCAACTGATCAGCTGGTTGTTATAACTCCTAATTTTTTTTCTCCCATCCTATTTTTTCCACCTCTCTCCAGCTTCTCCTGATTTGCCTCAGAGACCAAAGAGGGAATTCAATTTGGCAATTGCAAGGATTTGGCACCAAAAGTGGGAGAGCAAATTGACAAATGGAAAGCTTGGTCAAAATATACTGTCTTGAAAAGTCATCTGCACAGTGAAAACTTGCCATCTGTATGTCCATTGGGTGGATGCAAGTTGGTACTGTAGTCGATTGTGTTTCCTTGACAATAAAAAAGTCCTCAAATGATTTTTCTAGTTCTGTGGTTCTCAGTGTCTGGGACACAGTAGGGGTTCTGTCTATATTACGTCTATAAACTTGATATCGCAAATGACAATCTAATACCAAAAGTTTCTCTAGAAAACAAAATGGCAGCTCCTCCTCAGTGCTTGGTTGAGTGCCATGGAGGAAGGTCTTATTTATCAAAAGAGAATTTACTTTGGTCATCTTTTTGGGATAATAAATAACTTTCCAGACTAAGCCGCTTGATCAAGTCAGGAACGTGTTGATTTTGGATTGTTTCTTCCTTATTATTGACTAGTTGAGTGTCTCTGTGAGAAGAAGCAGTTTCACTGGGTGTTTTCTTTGACTTAGTTTGAAAGATATTTTTAAATCTCCAGAAAGAAAAAAAGACAATGATAATGACTGTTATTTTCCTGTATCAAAGGGGTTACATTGTTTATCATTTATGAATACATGCATATATTCTTTCCAAAAATAAATTGAGTCAATTTATGTGTGAGGCAATAGGATGATCAAGGAATGAAGTATAAAACAGGGTCATGCCTTGGAGGGCTTAAAACTTACCAGTAAAGTTTGAGAGAGATGAATAAGTAAGTAGTTAATTGTATGGCTCCACAATACAAGTCTGAGGCCATAAATTGTATAAAGCTCAAAGTGTACTGGCAACACCTTTGAAGAAGTGATTAAATTTTTTTGAGATGCAAAATGAGGAAAAGCTTTACCAAACTGATGTAACATATAATCATGAAAAGAATGTAGGTGGAAAATAAAATTTAAAAATAAGTAGAAGGGAACCTACCACAATGTAGGTATTGTGTTGACTGTTTTGCAAGCTATTAATATATTACTGATTGAATGTGATTTTTACCACACAAAGGAGTAAGTGAGTGGGGGCATTCTAGAAAAAGAGAACAGAAAAGCCAAAGCAAATATTGTAAAAGTTGGATATGCTTAGGAAATAGAAAGTAATCTAGTATATATGGACAGAAGCAGAAAATGAGTTCAGTGAGAGAAACTGAAAAGAAAATGAATTGGTTTTTATTTAGTGACCATCAATTTTCATAATGCCCCTATTATCATTATTCCCATTTTGGAGAAGAGTAACTCATAAAAATTAAGCAATGTGCTTGAGAATGAGCAACAGAGACAGGAGTAACAGCCAGATTTCTTCGGGATCTTTCTTTTCTCCAAAACACCTTGGAGACATTTGGTGCTGACATGAAACAACCATGCCATGCTGTAGGATCTGGAAACCAGCAAACTGAGATTCTGAGCAGCCTTTGGTCCAGATACTCCACTCAGTTTCAGGGCAAAAATCTCTTCCCCAGGGCAAATTACCAACCTTTGACATCGTTAGCTGCCATTTATCTTCATTCAGTCCTGCTTTATCCTCCTGCTTCCTCTTGTTTGTCTTTTTTTCAACTTTTTCAGTGGAAGATCCAGCTTTGGAGGGAAAATAGTGTTCATTATTCTCACCATTAGTAAAACATGGAGTCAGAATTGCAGTGTTGCTGAAACTTAGCGCCTTCCCCATTTACATTCACTAGCTTGGTGCCAGCAGCTTAAAATCAATAAGTTCAACATTAGCATCTGTTTCTCAGGAATGACCCAAGAAAAGATATAGGTATTTTATGTGATGGGAATGATTAGGAAATAAGAATAACCATCTCAGACTGAGAAGACTTGGGTATTAAAATGACACAGAAAAAATAGTGGTCAAAGAAGGAGAATGAGTCAAAGTAACTAGGCTATTGCTGACAAATAGAGTGTTATTTATATGGAAATCTCAGCCATAGCACATTGATTTGGGGGTATGCTGAGTGTCGGAGAGTCTTGTGATGGCTTTTAATAATTATATCTCTTCCTCCCATACTTTTAAGTTTACTGAGAAAGGAAATCGAAGTAAAGTTGTTAAAGAGACTTCCCTAAGGATATCATTTTTTTCTTTTTTGTTAAAAATGAGGCTTTTGAGCAAATGTTTCTCCTATATTATTGCCAAAATATTGAGCATTCGATTTATTAGCACCTCAAATTTCTAGGCTTCTCACTGATTATTCCTGAATCTCCTAGCTCACCTCTAATGATGGTCCATGTGATAATCAGTCCTTGGAAAAAAATGAGATTCAGGCTGATTCAAATTAAGGTTTGGTTGAGAATAAGGTTAATATCTAGCTAATGACCTACTTATAGCTAAGTAGGAAATCAGCCTGTAGCCAAGACTGTGAAACTTCACCTTCACCATTGTGGAACTAAAGGACACTGGTATTCATTCTAAAAGGCCTGTACAGTTTCTAGCACAAGAAATGGGGTAAGAAATTTCTACTTCATGATAAATTTTAGAACACCAACCTTAAAATCATCTGAGACAGGGGTGGGGTGCTGAACAGACCACCGACAAAAGAATGATAATCAGGTTGGCATCAGACTCAACATCAGTAAGTAATAAAGACAATTAAATCATCCTTTCCAAACAATGACGTGAAAGGATTTTTAACTTACAACCTTAACTCCATCCCAGTTACTCTTCAAGTTTGAGAATAAAGTTATTTTTGAAAAACTAACAACCTAGAAAGTTTGCTGTCCACATACCCTTTATTAGGTAAGCTCCAGGGGAAATTATCTAAGAAATAAATGGAAGAATAGAGGACTTCCTTCACTTGGTAGGATATTGGAGATGTTGGAAGAATATAAGGATGTGATCAAGATGCACATGCAAAAAAATATGACTAAGAGAAGTTTCCATGAAGCAAAAAACAAAACAACAAAAACTGAACTCCATTTGATTCTGTTATGAATAAAATTTACATATGTATAATAGTATAAATTGTTGACATTCAACTTTTGGAAACAAGCTATAAATAAAAAATGCAAGATTTTTTTATTATGATTCAAACAAGAAATAAAAAATTTTCAGCTTTGACCATGTAAAAGTATTTTAGGGAATTTCAAGGTAGTGCCTCTCATAATGGAACAAAATGAAAAGTTTAGAAAATAAAATTCAAATGTAGCCCGTATATAAACTAAAAAATAGTGCTATTGGGGAGAGAGTAGGTGGGGAAGCAAGAGGTGGCATAACTGAGCAAAAAGTTTACCTCCTAATGGTAGGATAACAATGAATAATATTGATAGTGATGTTGATAATGATAAAACGATTGAACTAGTAGACCTAATATTGATAAACTTATGGAAGAGTGGTAAAAGCATGATATTCAGAGACATGTCAGTAGCCACCAAAAGAAACATTGAATTCCAAGAGGTTATTTTGTGAGAGAAAGGTCCAGGTAATGTTCTGTATGCTTTAATTTTTACTGTATTCATGAATTATTTTATTAAATAAGTTGAAAATTTATTTCAATAAATTGAAATTTTATTTAATATATATTTAAATATTTTAAAGTATATTTTTAATATTTTAAATATTTTTAACACTCTCCCTTACAAATTAAAATTTAAAAATTACTTAATGCTGTTGAGAATGCAGTCAGAGGGGTATGCTTATACACTCTAAATAACCAAGTCAATAAAGTAGTTCTAGAAAATTATTTGGAAATAATTGTATGAATATAAATGCATATTTATATTCATACTCTTTGACTCATGTATTTCAATTTTAGGAACTTAAGGGACTGAAATAAAATGAGCACCAAAATCTATCACTAAGATGATTTTGCAACATTATTCATAATGTTCATATTTTGGAAACAATATCTTAAATGGCATTTTGGCAAAATTATTTACAGAGCACCAACAGGATGGGGTAGTAAAATAGTTTAAAATAGTACTTAAGAGTTGATGTTTATTGCTTTGGGAAAAGCTTGTTATATGTTTTAAGACCCCCAAAATTTCTAATGTTATAGAACTGTGTATAGAATATAATCCAGGTGAAAAAAATTAATCTCAGTGAAGATAGCATATGACACATTGTTTGTTATGTTAGTCTCTGGGTGAGGGTATTACTGATGTCTTTTCTTTCTTCAAATTCTTCTCAGTGTTTATTGAGCACAAATTATCACTGTAGTTAAAAAAAGGAAACAACAATATGATCAATAAGAACTGAGGAGAAAACACACAGTGAATTTAGGTGAAAAGGCTAGTACTTTCAGTTGAGGTAGAAACAGGAATGGTTACAGAGGTAGCATTTCAGTTGGAGCTTGAATAATGGGTAGGAATTAAGACTATGATGATCATAGCCAAGTGGCATGGGCTCACTAAAAGACTGCGAGCTAATCATTGGACTATAGAATACATCTTCTTCCTTCCTACCTTACCACCATTAGTAAATTTCCTGAATAATAATAATATTCCTATAATAATAGGGGAATATACTTGAGAAGACTGGATATCTCAGACTTAATTTAAGAAGTTTCCATGAAAACTCAAATACAATGAGAATAAAAAACAAGGACATTAGAGGAAGTTTTAGTCTTTGATACCAGAGTAAATAGCACAGCCTAACTCCTAGCCAGATAAATAAAGAACTTTACTCTAAAGGCCTATCTACCTCAGTTTCTTTTGAGTTTCAACAAAAAGTTACAAGGCATGCTAAAAAACAAACAAACCAAAACCCCCACAGTTTGAAGAGACAGAATAGGCGTCAGAATCAAACTCAGGTATGGCTAAGATGTTGGAAAGATGTGAACTTTATCTCAAAAATAATTTTTAAAAGTACCATGACACACAACTCTTTTTATATTTTATGCTCTCAATGTGTGTGTTGAATTAATTAAGATGCAGAGATTTCAGGAAAAGTCTTGAGCCATGTCTGCAGATGGGAGTAGGTTTGGTCTAGACTCACATTTTCCCATTGCCTGGCAGAGTTTCTCTGCTAGGTTGCGCTGGTTTATGGCTTTCAGGACCTCCTGAGTCACAGTCTTGGAGTATTCTTCCCCATAATACTGGATCAGTAGTTCAGCAAGTTTCACTGGGTTTGCTTGCTGGAT